TCCGTTGAATTCCACGTGGCGGCGCTGCAATTATTACGTTGAACGTCACATTTCCTACAATTCACTTGACTTCCCAGGTTTTATTCATTTATTTTCACAATATGGCAAGCCCTTGTCAGACCCAGGCAGGAGTGGGCTGAACTTGACTACACAAAACATCAAAGAAAAAATGAAACCACATGTACAGAGCAACGATTATGATCACGTACAAACCGAACAAGAAATCTGCACTTTGTATACACAATTTTGCTTTCGACACACCGGCGCCGCCATAAAGGACTGATAGGCGTGTGCTTTTTAGATTTTTCATGTCACAATATGAACTGATCGTGCTCATGAAACGTAGAATGCGCCGGCAAAGCGATTTCGTGCGTGTGAGTTCACCGTCGCACTGTTTGTTCATTTGATACGTGAAACTACAACGTTATCAGTTTAAGATGGTGGCGCTTGAGCGCGTTTGGAAAATGGTCATCATGTCGACAAGGAAGCAGCATAATAATAACTGTGTAGCTTGATGGCGTTGCAAAATAAATACTAATGACACCTATTATATTTTTCGCATTCAAATTCAAAATTCTGAATGCTGCTCCTAAATTCAACGACAGATGAGTAGTTTTATACTATCAACAATCACTATATTTTAACACCGAAGGTAGTGTTCAGACATAAGCAATAAGAAAAAAGAGTACCCCCTCCCCCCATAAAATAAAATAAAAGTAAAACACCTTGTACAGCTGAGAGTCTGCCCGTGTACTTCCGCGCAAATCTGAAGCGGTGACAGGCTGAAGGCTAACGATCACAGTGCCACAAGCGGCTTGGCACCATTTTGGCATCGACTTTTGACTCTATTTTGGGTTTGCTCCCCTGCTGTAGTACACTCTATCTGCGCGCAAGACTGTCAACAGACGACGCCGCAATCAGCATACTCCCTTGGTTTCGGTTGATAGCGACTTCGGATTCTCATACATGCAGCATATTAGAATTGTAGTATTGCCTTAGATTGAATATCTCTGGGCTACGTATGGTAAGGCCTTAGAATATGACCTTAGGAGCAATATGGGGAGTGGGGCTGCTTTCGCTATAGTTACTCTATATGGCTCCAAAGGAACCATACAAGGCAGCTTCATAGAAAGATCTCAATGATTCAGCATTTCTCTCTGGGTGCTTCTCTTTTTAAACTAATTGTTTGAGCTTTTTGTTATTGAATACCATCAAGTGACCTTGAACAAAAATGAAGAGACATTATACATGCATTTCAAGGAGAACATTTGGATAACCAATCAGAAGTGTTTCATGGCATGGGTATGCGACCTCCTTCCAAATATCGCACGCCTGTGCGCTGCGTCTGCTGGTGTAGGCAGCCTACGAGGCATTGTAGCCGCAAATGATAAGTATATCTCCGACTTTATTCCTGCAAGTGGCATCAAACAGCGTTATGCATATTAACCATTGCATGGTAAGGTGTGGTGGTGAGGGATGCGGCCTTGCAAACATGCAAGCCTTTTGAGATTATTAAAAGGGCCATCTCCAACCACTCTTCTTTGCATGCTGATACGTGCTGACAATTACGAAAGACAGAGAGGAAATAGTTTATAAATTTCCGGCAGATTGCTGAAGGAGTTCGTGGAAGGCTGTCTCCTGACAGATTCTTTGGCCCACTGGATCACCCAAAGTTTTTTTGTACATGCCCGAACCGAGCAGTGCCCAAATGTCTTTATTGGAGGCCGCGAGTAAACGCAAGATCACCGGTGAATGCCGACCTACCTATTGCCCCTTCAGGAAAAAGAACGCCAGAGAAAATATTGTCGCCGTTCACAAAACAAGGGAAGAATTTGGCCACATAGTGCGCGCTCAGAGCATTTCCTCCTTATGTGCCTTGACGTCCGACCAGTGGCACATGCAAGAGATACTGCATTGTAGTAGCAGTGTCCCAGCATCGTGCCAAAATAGGGGCAATATAGAGGAAATGCTGTTGGCCCGCATGTTCAGCTTTAGGTACATGTTGAAGAACCCCAGGTGGTGGAAAATTTTGGAGTCCTCCACTACGGCGTCTCTCATAACCATATGGTGGTTTCCGGACAATAAACCCCTACATATCAATCAAAGTACACGGCGATAACGGAGGGCCTTGACATTCATGGTACGGCTGATGACACTGTTGTTAGCGATCCATGCGTTGAGTGGTCAACAAAAATAGAGGGTTCGTGCAAACAAAAACCACGTGTTAGAAGGTATATAGGAAAAATTAGGGAGCTATACAACTAATGGCAATTACAAAACGAAAACTGCTCACGGTTGCTTGGACGTTTATGTGCAGAATAATAATTGAGAGAGCGGGAAAGGATGATTTGTTCTTGGAGGAAACTCGAACCACTCATTCACGCCCTGTGAGCGGATGTAACGTCCCGTGACTGTTTATTATTTATTCACTTGTGAAGTACAAGAAGGTCAAGTACCTCACGTCGTACGACTGGCGACACGTACTTTCTGTGGAATCAGCTACCACGTAGCAGTATGGCGAACGCGTTAAAACGTGCAATGTCTGGAAAACCAAGCTAACTGCCATGTTTTGTGTCATTGTACTCATCTATATATTTAATTTACCCAAATACGCTAGTGGGGTAATGTCGAGAGTTATTATGAAACCAACAGAAAACTCAGGTTTATGACATCATAGCTGTTGCACCTACGCCTAGCTTGGAATGTTTTATACAGTGTAGATAGACTGAGCAGAGTTTTGTGATGCAAGGAACAAATGTCAGAAACGGAGACATGCAATCAGACAGAGATATAAAAGAGGCCTGACCAAATGACACAATTTAAAAGCCGGCTAATTGCGCTGACAGAACCGCAGAGCACCTGCAGAGGCTTTTGTCCTGCAACTAGCTTTGAGAAATGACCTTCATGAAAACGCATAAATGCGCAGCTGCGCAGTTTTATGTTACAACAAGCTACATACACTCTGAAAAAGGAGAAAACAACGGTAGATAAAATAACGAATAGGTAACATTCACAACATTAGGAAACGGTGAAGCTCACTATATATTTGTAATATTACGAAAAACATTTTCGGACCGCATGTATTCTTACAAGTTTAAAAAGAAAATGGATGAGAAAGGGAGGGCAACTTGAATAAGGCAGTCAATGCTCACTACTATAGCGATCTTCGGCCACCGCTCGCTTTCAGTATATATGCCTCTTTTCTGGTCATTCTCTATAAGAGACAGCGATACCTGCCTCTTCTGTCTCAGAGGCCTCATTGTGATACGAGTGATAGTGTTGTGGAGGCTACGCACAAGTAAGGACTAGTGAAGTTTAATGTTTTAATGAGTGCTGTCGCGTTTTTGCCTAGTTTATTATCTAGCAGTCTGAAGTTTGCATGGCCGTCTCTGGCAGCGCATGTACAAATCTCAATGAACAAGAGTTGCAATGTAAAGTGTAAGTGCGGACTGACGATGTCTCAAGCAAAGTCGTATGCTTTATCTATGGTTTCAAAAATCTATTATTTATCCTGTTAAAAGCGGATCCAGCATGTTGGCTGCTCTAACTACGATTGTATTCTCCTACTCATTGACAAATATTGCAAGCAATCGTTACCGTAGCCTATGCGAGGTTCGGAATCAATGCACATTTTGTCTGACGTCATGTTGTTGTCGCATGCAAGGTGCCGAATTGAGAACTATGCTATATGTTCATGCATGTGTGTACATGTTTATTCAAAATGTTTCTTCAAGCTCAAGGAGCTATCACGAGAGAATACTCAAGCTTTGTAGTTTAGCACGTGAAAGAGAAATGTATGATTGAGAATATGCCTGTGTGGGGAACGCCAAGATAAGTTTTAGCCGCTTGAAATGCTTCGAATGCACGTAATCTACGTCCGTGTTTAGTCATGTATACTATTGCATTTTGCTTTTCACGGGCAAACGTGGGCAATCAGTTTACTTTCGTGGCCGGAAATAAGGAGCAAGCCTTCACGCATACCACGCCAAAAGCCTAACTTCCTCAGGGCACGAACGATTGAGAATTATATAAGGACCGTATAAAAGGACTCCCCCCTTCCTACCCCCACCACAGATCCTCCTCTATGAGGAGGCGTGGTTTAGCAGTATATTGTATCACTCTATGTGAAATCTCATTTCTCTGTCTGCATAATGCAACAGCGCGAGGACTTGTTTGTGAAAATGGAGCCTTCTTAGACACTGTCAAGCGTTCACCCCATTCGACCAGTGGTAATAAAAAAATTGAGAAGGAGATCTTGCAATATGCTCTGCTATCACGTTAGGGACACCAGAGCAGGTATTTGGGTAGAGGTTCACACATATTATCGTAAACATATTTAGCCATTCTACAAAGTGGCTGCATAATACGTACAAAATAACTTGATTGATTGATACGTCGGGTTTAACGTCCCAAAACCACCATATGATTATGAGAGACGCCGTAGTGGAGGGCTCCGGAAATTTCGACCACCTGCGGTTCTTTAACGTGCACCCAAATCAGAGCACACGGGCCTACAATATTCCCGTCTCCATCGGAAATGAAGCCGCCGCAACGGGGATTCGATCCCGCGAACTGCGGTTTTAGCAGCCGAGTACCTTAGCCACTAGACCACCGCGGCGGGGCCACAGTGGAGTGAAAACTACGCTAAAGTCGTGGGTGTAGAACACCCATGGCCCTCTAAATCGCTCATTATCGGAATTAGTCAGCCCTATGAAATAGCGAAAAGTACTGGCCACTTATCAGATGCCGATAGGAAAAGTAACTAGGAAAGAATTTGATGTCATGCTTATATGTCGAAACGACTTAGGCCGGGTAAACAATAGCTTTCAGTGACTTTTAACAGACATACACACAAAGAAGAATAAAAGGAAAATCAAAACTTGAGAACTCCCACAAGGAGTTTTGTGGTCATTAAACGTGAAGGCGTCTCTTCGTTCTAAGTTCAAATGCTGTTGACATTCTCGACATTGTGTTGTATTATTTTGAAGACGTACCTTTACGAAGGACATCACTGAAGTGGGAGGCCAATCCCGTCCCAGAGCTTCATGACGTCCGTGTGGCCACACTTTTCGACAATTCTCTTCTTCATCCTCTCCACCTGCTCATCGGTGAAGTGGTTCTTCCAGTCTCCTACGATGCCTTTCCTCAGGAATCGTACTTCACTTTTACTAGCAGACTTCTTCTTCAAGGGTTCCCGGAATACCTCCAAGGACTTGAGAGCCCGCTCGGGTGGCAGGTCAAGAAGGCGATTGAGAATGCTGCCTCCGCTGTCAACCGTCGCTTGCATATTCTTGAATTCTGAACCGTCCAGCAACTTCTTCATGAGCTCATCGTCGTTTCGCAGGATGTTTCCGTACTCGCTGCCAAGAAAATCGGCAATCTTGAGAATCTGAGTCCTGAAAGAAATGAGCAATAAAACACACGAGCAAAGTGAGATTTTCAATAACCTAAACGCTGCACTGCAACTACTAAGACAAAAGAAGCTAGAGAGTACACGCGTTACAAAGTGCACACGACCAACGCAAAATCCACTGATCCTATTATTAAAGAATGGAGGGAAAACATAACCCCAGAAGATAAAGTTGTCTCGATAAAATATACTTTATCTAGATAATACTTTATCTAGATAGATAACATTATCTCAATAAAATCACGAGAAAACACGCATTGTAAACAGTATCATGTAAAAAGACACGCAGCCACTATTTTACGCTCCGGATGCAATCGAAGTCGCCGCACCGGGTCATCACTGCGCTACGTGTCGCACGATTTCTGCATATTCTTCCGAGAAATCGGAGTGGTGATGTGAATTAACTGAGTGTTCAATACTCACTTTCCTGTGCTCACAAAAAGGTTCATTCACGTCATTCATGTCTTCGTTCGTGTTTTTCTATCTGCGGTAAAGTAGCTGCTGGTATGCGGCACAACACATGCTAAAATAAATCAGGCATTGATTTTTTACATAAAAGGGTCTTCGTCTTTTCCAAAAATAAAAAAATGGTAAAATACATGTGCTACATAATATCGAATTCGGCAGTTTTCAAAGACGTTGTTTTTCACAAGACATTTTAAACCCATTTGACACTGCTGCAAGAATAGTCAGCTTGCTTATATCCCGTACACCCGATGTTGATTGTTGCCGCAAACTTTGCGCTAAACTAGAGATTCTGAAGTACGAGCTCTAAAAAGTAATGGCCTAATTATATAATAAATATTCCAAGAAGATTGGCGTGTCTACATGTCGCTTTACCTCAGTTATTCATTACTAAAAATACACTGCTCTAGCGTTTCTTTTTTCAGTGAGACGCATTAAAAGTGGTGCATTTCAAATTTTATTTGCTTGAAAGGAGCAAATGCAGGTAGTATTCATTGCCTTCAAATGTTCCCTGTAAAAAACTGAACGCAGTGCGGTGCTTATTTATTATTGCACATCTTCTAGACAGTAATCAATCTGCACTGAAAGGGAAAAAACAAAATTGAAATTTTTTTCTTCTTGTTTATATAATTCTCTTCTTTATACATATTTGGTACGCGTAATTTTACTTTGCCGGATGATACTTAAGGCCTTGTGGACTCATGCCAATGGCAGAACTTGAAGCAAGTGTAAAGCAAGCAAGAAGTGGCAATGAACCTTGAATATTGGACAAACCTAGGTTAATGATGTTAATAAACCAAACATTTTTATCGAGTTTGTGCCAGCGAATGTTTTGGGACAAATGAACACTGTTTCACTAATTTCTAATAAAACAGTGTTGAGTTTGATCTGCCAAATAATTTGCGTCATCAGCCATTTATTCTGTCAATCAAACTGTCCGTTACTTGCGTCGTCGGGTAAAAAATTGCGCATAAACTCTCACTTTACTGCCATTATATCTGCAACAATGACTCTGCAGTATGCGTATCGCAATGAAGACAATGTGTAGGACGTACTTTGAACCTATACGGAGTCCTTCAGCTGACACTCAAAGGTGCACAACGAAAGTACTATCTATATATGCCATGACGGCTGTCAATCATGTTATCTCTCAGAAGTGGGCCACCAGACGCACGTTTAAAAGAACCAAAAAAAAAAGGAGAGGAGACGCACATGTTATGCGCTGTCCACTTCGCACGCTATCATGTCAGCGTCACAACAGACATACACAGTTAATTGCTGTCATGTCCCTTTTTTCACGAAGAGTTTCGCTTATGTCTGTACTAAAACACCATCCGATTTTCTTTTATCACTACTCTCCAGCATTCACTGCTAAGTACTTGCGCCGCAAGGCAGCATTGGCGAAGTTCAACGTTCATCATCCGTCTGGCGTACTCAGGATATGAAGAATTCCAATGCACAGTCCTCCCGGACGATAACGCTTCGTTTGCGTTGAACGTATCTTATAATCTACAGAATTCGTATGCTCATGACTGGAAGTGTGCACCAATCATGCTTAATAATATGCGAAGGAATAGCGCAAAAGCTAACGAGAACTAACATATAGTCAAGCTACGTATAGGGGACGTCTTCTGTAGTTATGACATATAAAAGTGTAGAAACTAAAGTCCATGAAAAGAAAACTCTACACCGGTACGGACCCAACCTACAACCTTCGAATAACGCATTTGATTATCTGCCAAGAGAGGCCCACCTCGTTTGTTCTATGAACCGGATGCTAAGCCAGCAAGAATATATTTCAGTCAAAGCATGTCTGCTTATTTTGAGATAATCAAAATGCAAGAGTGTATAAATCAAAATGCAAGAGTGGAACACCATCATAGCCTTTCGTCGGCTCAAAAAGCAGTCAAAGCTGTCTTGTGCTTTTTGAGGACTACAGGCCTACGTGACCACCTTTAACTTTTGTGTAGTGCCACCGCTGCATACGCGCCAGCCGATTGACTGACAATCCTCCTTTTTTTTCTCTCTCTCTCTCTTTCTCTTCTCTTTCCTCTCTCTCTCATCTTTATGCCCCCTTCCTATTCCCCCAGCGTAGGGTAGCAAACCGGGCATGTGCCTGGTTAACCTCGTTGCCTTCCCTCTTGTTGTTTATCCCCCCCCCCCCCCCCCCCCCCCCAAGAGTGCGAGCCAGAATGGCTGACGAGGTTAGATCCTCTGGCAGCTTTCAAGGAATTTTAGGTGGACAACACCAGTCCTTTTGGGACTGATGGCTTTTGTTTCTTGTGTGTGTGTATTTGAGAAAATATATTTGTACATTTTGTAACATGTGTTTGTGTACATTGTCTGAGACCGGAAATAAATAAAAAAAATCGCCTCGGGTAGTTTAGTGGTTATGACACTGGACTGCTGAGCCAGCAGGTCACGGGATTGAATCCCGGCTGCGGAGGCTGCAGTTTCGATGGAGCGCCGAAATGTCTCAGGCCCGTGTGCTTAGCTTTAGGAAACACGTTAAGAGCCCTAGGTGCTTCGAAATTCCGGAGCCCTACACTACGGTGTCTCTCATAATCATATCGTGATTTTGGGATGTTAAACCGCACATTTTGTTCTTATAACTATCTGCCAATATAAGTACAGGGTAAGTCGCGTGCTACCATACTGTGTAATTTTGCCTACCTGGGAAATTTAACATATAGGACTGTAAGCACTGCTTATGATCACGACAGCGAAGTACTCACGCAGCATCTTTCTTTCTTCTAATTGTCTGCTTGTGTCAAGCAGTTAACTTTTCGTCAACTTTATACGCCTTACATATATATCATAATTGCTGCAAATAACGTACGCTATAGTTTGATTGCCCTCGTATCGGTAAGTTTTCATTAACTTTGCTATCAAAAGAGAACATCAAGCACATGAATTTTCTTTTTTTTTGATTCATTACACAAATTGAGCGGAAATGGTGCTCACGCAAGTGAATGTTTCTCAATTGCTGCACTCCTAGCACATACAACTACGTGAGCAAACACCCAACAAATTCGTTTCAATGTGCGCAAACACCTTTCAATTAGTCCAATATCCTCATTCTATATATCGAAGTCTTCTGCTGTATACAGGAGAGTTAAATGGGTCTTCTTAAAGCATGCAGCTTTAAACATTCCCAGCTTTCCCAGGTCAAAAGTGAAAAAACAAAACAAAGCATGGAATATATGTCGCATAACTGTACTGAAAATAGGTGTGTAGCTAGTACCTATGATCTTCAACATATCTATAGAAACTGATGCCAAAATTGAATTAGTATTCAGAAGTACTCACTTAGTGTCCCTTCTCAGTTCTTCGTAGGTCAGAAAGAGGACGTTAGGATCATTCCTGTGTTCATACCAGGAGAGGAGGTGGTCGAAGTAATCCCCGAAGGACACTGTGCCACGTACGAAGTTTTCGAAGTAGTCGTCGAACGTCATGTCGGGAACGTCGTACGACGGCTTCTCCTTGGTGTGGTAGTAGAAGGAGACGCATACGTCGAAGGGATTCCTAGCGACGGTGATATACTTTGCATCCTTAGAGTAGGGAACCTTGCCGTAAGGCATGTGCGTCTTGATGGCTCCGGGCCGTGGCATCTTTTGCGCGGCTTCGGCTCCTAACATTTCCAGGAATGGCGAAGAAAGCATGAACTCCAGGGAATCCTTCGGGAAAGAACCGCGATTGAATATCCCGTGGACAATGAACTGAACCCAAGTAGTTCCACATTTAGGGTACGTCGCGATGAAGACATCGCCTGGTTCTGGCTTGTAGTACAGAGCTGACCGAACAAGGTCATCGTTGAAGAAAGCATTCACGCAGTAGCCATCGACATGCTTGTACAGAATCCGCTGCATTGCAGTTGCCCCTCGAAAACGTTCTGTCTGTTTTCCCTTGAACTGCTCGCGTTACTGTAAGAAATGAAATCGCAAACTGATTGCTTTCCTATAATTCTCTCCCACTTCCCGCTACTCTATAGGAGTCTATTGGTATCCAAAACACAAGTCGTTGTGTACACATAAGTACAGGTAAATGCCTAGCTCACAAAAGACAAAATGTTTATTTTATGGAAACGAAACATGAAAACGTTTTACTTGTTTGAAAGGTTATTGTTTAGTATATGTTCAGCTGAATTAGAAATGGTCACAATAATGTTCTCGCCATATCGACCACTTGGGTCCAATTTGCCTTAGGCGTCAGCATAGTCTCATTTGTGATCGGAATGAGAGCAGCATTTTGGGCATGTTGGTAATAGATGACTGCTGTGGGATGGCGCAACAAAAGAGACACGAACCACAGAGAAAGCGACACGCGCAATGCTTGCGGTGTCCTCTCCATTTACCGTTTGTTTCTTGTTGCTCAATTTTATTGAACTTTGCGCTCTTATGTCGTCCGCCGGGGCCTCTTATCTCATAGCTTTACCCGCTGATTAGTAGTACTATTTTCGACCAGGTACAGCAGCCAGGAACTTTTTTTAAAGAAAAAGTGGTGGGAGGGGACACTTGTTTTACGTTTTGCAAAACACCTATTTTCATTGTTTGCCCTCGCTAAAACATCTGCCTTCATCTGAAATTTGTAGGTTGCGAGGTGCTACGGCACTCCATAGCTACGGACTTGTGTCACACAAAAAATTATTTGCTCTGAAACAATACTCAATTATGATTCGCTGTTATGGAAAATCAACAATAGTCACTAAAATTCTTTATGCTCCATATAAACACAAACTGTGTTTGGAAGTACGTATGAAAATATTCAGTGAGATAGCTTCAGAATAATTAGATATGTGGGGTTCAACGTCCCAAATCCGCCATGATCATGAGAGACGCCGTGGTAGAGGGTTCTTGAAATTTTGACCCCCGGGGGTTCTTTAACGTGCACCCAAATGTGAGTACATGGGGCGCCTAACGCATTTTCGCCTAAATTGAAAATGCAGGCACCGCTATAGGAATTCGATCCCGCGACCTGCGGGTCAGCAGCCGAGTACCTTAGCCGCTAGACCACCGCGGTGGCACTTTCGATTAGATCATGGAGGCCCTTTCATACGGAAAAATTGAAAAACATGGAGATTGTTATGACAGGGAGCACACAACTTTACGCTACGTCAAAACTTTCGATCAGACAAATGTAAAGCATACACTTTGATTACAGCTAGACTCTTCATGTGGCTTTGCAATGAAGGTTCATTTTCAACATCTTCAACGAACCGTTAGAGACTGTATGCGCTGTAGTACTGCGAAAGCAAGCTTCAACCAACCAATCTACAGACCAAGAAAATATTGGACAAGGAAGAAGAATTTAGTGCTATTCAGTACGTAACTTTTCAGACTGTTAGAAAAATGTCTTTTATGCCTTTTTTAAACTCAGTGTTCTAATCCTATTGACCTTCTCTCCAGATTCAACTGACACGTCACACTTTCTGCCACAAAGGCATAAAAATTGTGTACTATAATGCCGCCAGCTATTCATGTCCATTGAATTCTTCAGTACGCAACTTAGTTGCATTACACATAACGTAAAAAAGCACTGATAGCTTTGAGAGCATTGGAACTGCCGCTAAAAATTTTATGGAGGTAAATCCCTTGCATGTTTTACGTGGTGGTAGCCTTAAGCGAAAACCCCTTTCGAGGTATGCGGAGAGAAAAGTTCCCATGACGTCTTGGGATGTGAAATTCAGACAAAAGGGAGCCATGCAGGGCACGACTGCACGTGTCGATCATAAGCGCGATTCCTCGCGATAGTCAAAACCAACTCAGCGAATCGTTCATTTGTCACCAAAACGTATGATAATGAAAAACGAATGAACGAGCACTTGGTTAAAATTCCTAAATGTTGTAAGTCGTGTAGGATGAATGGTAAAATAACCCGGTTGCATGGTTTTTGCGTTCGAGGCGTCTGAGACGAATGCGCGGAAAATCCCGTGGGCCCTTTTTGACTTGCTGTTCGTAATAACAGTGCGCTCTTTATAATTATCTTATTTCCGATGGCACGTATTTTTAGACAAAATTTGTATTGTATAGTTTCGCTGCCCTTTGAGCGACAAGAAGCAAGAGAACTACTCGAGATTTATTTAGAATTTTCACGCAACATGAAAGTCGTTTTTTAACTGGCGCACTAACGCAAAGGACGGCAACGAGACTACAGGATACTATATCATCATTTCAAGCAGTAGTACGAGAATTTAAACAATGGAAACCTTCAAAACCACCTTGGACGTTGCCACTTCTCAACGTTATCCGTGAAATAGACGGCATAGAGAAGAAAGCAGACATGGCACCTCTAGTAGCGGCACAGTTGGTACTTCATCAGTTTCATGTAATGCATAATGAAAAGCGAAGATATATACAGACGGATCATGCACAGAAAAAGCGTCAGCCTGTGCGGTCTTTCTACCCGAAATTCAGAAAAAGAAGATGTATAAATTATCGCACAAATCTTCATCAACGACAGCAAAATTGGTGGCTATCTTTGAAGCAGTTAAGCTTGTCTGCGAGAATCCCGAGCCACGAAAATGGGTGATATGCACTGATAGCAAACCTGCTCTTCAGCTAATCAGAAATGTGAGATCACCTTACAAAAATGGTGAAATAGCACAATGTATCGCAGAAACTGTGGAATATGCCTGATCGCAGGGTCACAACATCGTATTACAATGAATACCCAGCCACATTGGAATAAAGGGAAATGAAGATGCTGATAGTCTCGCGAAGAAAGCATTGAAGGAAAGACGGGATTGCACAATCCCTATGTCTGGGGCGGATATTCAACATTTTATATCGCAAGGAGCTAACCGTTGTTCGATCGAGAAGTGGTTTGAGAGCCCTAAATCAAAGGAAACGATATTTTATGAAGTCGATCCACACAGAAAATTTTCCATAGCGACAGACCTCCCACGACACCTAGAGACATTGATCCACCGACTTAGATTGGAAGTAGCATACACAAACAGCTTCCTGCACAAGATACATCGATCCAACTCACCGGAATGCCATTGTGGTCATGCAGAAGAAAATGTTCGCCATATTCTTTTGGAGTGCGTTAAATACGCGAATGAAAGAGAAAAATTAAAGAACAAATTAGCAAGTTTGGACAGACGGCCCCTCACAATAAAGAAACTACTTGAACCATGGCCTGAGATGCATCTCCAGAAAAAGGCAATAATCTTCCTGACAGACATTTTAGTGGAGACCGGACTGGACAAGAGCCTATGACAGACAGCCAGAGATGGTTATTATGTAAAATCTGGTCATGTATATACTGACACTAGAGTAGTAAGGTGTGCGTGTAAGTAGTTTATGACTGTGTGAACTGCGTGAAGAAAACTGTGTATTGGCATGTTATTTGAACTGGTTTCAGTGTGCTATTATGTGTTTTTTTCTGTTTTTTTTTCTTTTCCGTATTGTTAATTTTTGGGTATCGTTCTGTATTATTATTTTATTTTTCGCTGCAGAACTTTGTGATATGGAGTAGCCGAGACAATAGGCACCTCAACCTCTCCACAGCAAAACAGTTAAAACAGAACAGAACAGAACAGAACAGAACAGAACTAAGCGGCACATAAACATACATGGTGCCAGAATATGATGCCATCATATGACGTCTTCACTTGAGATAGTAGGTCAGTGTAACATTAGCCTGCTCGGAGAAAGTACATACCACGTTAGTTGCAGTGAGGCAGGGAGAGAGAAAGACAGGGAGTGGAAAAGCGGAGAGGTTGAACCAAGCTTTGCCTCGGTTGGCCACCCCACACTTAGGGGGGGGGGGAGGGGGGGAAATATAAGAAAGAAGAGAGAAGAAAGAAGGAGAGTAAAAAAAAAGTTGCTTAAATAGTCAGGTTGAGAATATACAGCCCGGTTTCGCGATGTTCGCTCCCAAGCGCTTGTGATGTCCAGTGGCTTCCAAGAAGCACAAGAGAGCTTTCGTGGCCTTCCGCGAAAGTTAGTTGCAGAAAACTTATAAAAGAGTGCGGGGGGGGGGGGATGCGTGTGACTGAGATAGTGTTATTTCAAGCATTTTTTTCACACGGTGGCACTTACTTTTCTGTACAAAGTCTCGTCATTGATCGCAGACCGCTAATTGAAAAGCAAGCTTTCTCCAGCAAGTTCTACACAAGCTGTAATGATCTGAATTTTTTTTTTGTATTGTTAGAACACTTTAACTGTACGGGACAATTTTTCTTTGCGGTTCGTTACGTTCCGCATATTCGGCTTCATTGCTTCATAACTTCTTGAAAAGAAAGTTATCGTTATAAATTGCAAATTTATTTCAAGTTTTGCATTATTGCACTGTTTCACATTTTACGTTTTCACCTAGTGTCAGCCATGGAAAAACTATTCTTGAAGGTATGACATGGAGTCACAGAAATCAATAAGTGAATAAATAAACACAATTTCACTCGTTCAGTAGTGTGGCGCTGCAACATTCAAACTTAGAGATTAAATTTACGGAATTCTTTTGTGTTACGTTATTGAGTACCTAGATTGGTCAGAATTTCAAGGAATGTGTACACATGCATACATGAGAGCACCAAATATTAGATAAAGGTGCTTAAGACCAAGTATCTATTTAGCAAGTGAGCCTCTCGAACGAGTGCAAGAGCAGTTTTATCGCTGAATCTTCACCATGACCGCGACAATGAGATATACAGCAAGACGTAGCTGCCTCGGAGCGCGTATTGCACTTTAGTAATTAGTGTTTCGCTACTCTATATTCAAAAGAAAGTGCATATTTATACTTGTCTAGCATGATTTGTGAGCAGTGAGTGAAATAAACGATGCAAAAATTTAGAGAACATGTTACAGGCGCCACGGCCAGGAACGTATAACCAACGTTTACCGCGTAACATCATGACACACTACTATAACCACATTGATAGCAGCACATGCTGAGGGGAGAGGGGGGTGAGTATATTTGAACTGACCTTGAGAGGAATACACAGCTGGGCATACCATGCGATGATTTGGATAACCCAGATGATTATGACCGCAATACAGATGGCAGCCAAGAAAGTGAGCAGTTACAAACGCTGTCTTCGAACAGTAAGATATTTAAAAAAAAAACATATAACAAATATATGGGAGCACTTTCATGAGCTGAGCGGGTTCTTCTAGGATTACAGGGTTGGCACCAACGTTTCATACAGTATGGCTTAAACAATTTCTAGCGCTTCACAGGCAGCGTGACGCTTGCAGTGTTATGCCAGCGTATTTTTCGCACTCAAGTCATGAGGCTTTGCTAGTACTCGGGACTATTTCGACAGAAATTACCAAATATATACTTGTCTGACCAAATTTTTGCCGCGTTCATTGTCCTATATACATTGTATTAAGTGCGCATGTAAGGTTACTTTTGGGTAAAATGTTGTGTTTTCTGTTTAAGGCAAAAAATATGCCTTCTCTGTTCGTCAGGTATCACTTTTGTTTTGATTTCTTGAGGACGTTTCTACAACGGTATTCAAGAAAGACTCCGTTCACTGGTTAAACTACCACCAACAATATTCCCGTTACGTTGACAACAACCATTTAGCCTGGTTCGAGTCCTCACCTTACTTCTTTAAAACCAATTTCAACTGCACAATACTGGTCACGCATGAACATATCAACACTATCATCAATGGGAGGTGCATACTATGTCAGCAGTTTCACCCGTGAAAATCCATCGGCTGCGTCAATTCTGAACGACTACCTGTCGCTGCTCTTAAATAACATTATCATTTTCAAGTATGACATATTTACGATAAAAAAACTGAAAGTCAAGCATACAAACCTCCAGGCAGAGTTTTCAATATCGTAACATGTGTACCTCTCGACCCGTCTTAAACCGTAGCCGCCTATGCCACCGCACACTGCGAATTTCGCTGCACAGGAACTAAAGAATCAACGAAAAGTCACACTCACTCAGCGACTCCTTGTAAACCACCCAGACGTTGTTGCGACGCTCGTAGCCCACTCGCGATGCCGGCGTTGGCTCAATCAACGGCCTCCTTCTGCGTATAGAAGCTATGACGTAACACAGACCGAATTTGAAGTAGTGCGAAAGAGAAAATTGTTCCGGTGTGTTTTCTTCCTCTCCGGTTTGCCTTGAGAGTCCCCCCTCTTTCTCCTTCTTCTCTGTCCATTGAACCGCGACAAAAAAGAGGCGAGACGGGTGGTTAAGTACTCTGCGTACCATCAGCGTTATTCTTATCTTTATCGCCATTTGCTTGTAAGTGTGGCTGCTCGTGGCGTGCCGCCGAGATGTGGTCGAGGACGGCTGGTGATAGAGGCGGTCCACGGTGGCTTCGACTCGTTCACGCACTGTCAAACTGCGACTGAAAATTAGGATAAAGTTGCAATTTTTAAAGACGATAGTCTTTCTTCGGGACTTTCGACGGAAAAATTATCGTCTGTCTGTCCGTTTGTCTGTTTGTCCACGCTTAACGATATCTCAAAGTTTAAACGTCAACTAACGATAACCCAAACCACCGACCCCACCCGCAGCGCCCACCAATATTGCTCAAAGTTCAGCGTTCATACTTGTGCGTTTGTCAATTAAAAAGTATATATAAATATTGCGCACATCTGAGGCACTAAAACACGCCAATAGTCTGTGTGTGTGCCTTTTCACTAGAAAGCGCATACATAAGTAATTCTAAAGACCGTAGTGCTTATCACGCTGCGCTGACGATGCAACGCTTGCACGAAAAGGCAAGTGTTTCAAATGCTTTGCTAAGACGCGGTGGCACCTACTCGTCGCCTTACGTTCTACACCTTATCACTTCCGCGACGAGTGCGCATGCAGCGCGCGCTTCGTTTTCCAAGATAACTGCCAGATAGCGCTCATGTCTTACGTGTGACGTAACTTGATGCGCTCGTTCGCCTCCGCTGCATGCTCGAGGCAGCGCCTCCGGAATGACATTCACGGATTTTCTTGCGCAGAACATCAAGTAAACGTTTTTTTCACTCTCCCCAGACGCAAGACTATCGTCTTTCGAGGACATTTTCCTCTGTTTCTCCGTGTGCTGCGGGGCCGTTTTGTCCGCTTGTATTTTCATGTTTTTTTTCGCTTTGTTTCACTGAAGATTATGCAATACCACTTTGATGGGATTGATACTATTCAAACGCAAAACGGGTAACCTTATCGTAAATGTAACGAAATTCTTAAAAAAGGGAAACCTTTCATACCTTTCATACCTTTCATGCCAGGCAAACAAAAACGAGCTACCTGAGCACAAATTTAACGCAATTCATAAGAAGTGGTCTCAACGTAAATGCGGTTAATTTTATAGTCGAAGAGCCTATTGATTTTCTGTTCCCTGAAATGTGTTTGTCGGTTGGCACCCTGTACGACTCCCAACACCTTCATAGTCTTTCTTATTGTTCAGAACGTATAACGAAAACAAATTTATGCATGTTGGGCGCTACATTAAAAAAATGTTTGACGCTATATCTTCCCGTTGTTCACAGTCTTCCATGTAGTCTTCATATATCAACCCATAAAGGCCATTTATTACTATGCAGAAAATTGTCTTCAACGATGCCTACAACGAGACTGCCTTTTTTTTAGTTACATTTGTAGCACAGGTAAGTGCATTCAAATACTGCGGATATGTCCACACTCAGAAAGCTTAAAATGCTTTTGTCCTTAGAATACACGAAAATAAAATAGAATTTAGGCACATGACCGAAGCACTAAACCACTGAGCTGACCCGTGGCTGTGGGCGCGCCAGGTAACGTTTTTTTGCAACAAAGACGACTCACTCCCCTGGCCTGCAACGCCAGACCTTACAATGGGAATTATGTTAAAATGTGTTTAGTGGCTCGAATAAAATTACACACACACACACACACACACGCGCACGCGCGCACACGCACGCACACACACACACGCACGCACGCACGCACGCGCGCGCGCGCGCGTCTTCACCGTCTAGTCTTCACCGTCTAGTCTTCACCGTCTTCACCGTCTTTTCCTTAGCGGCACATGCAACTACGCCAGCAACGATACCACGCTTTTCGAGCCGTTGTGCTTCGGGCAACGCGATGACGTTAGTGGTTCTTCAAAAATCTGGCAAATTATTTTAACAAGAGAAAAGAATTTGCAGCATCTCCCACTAAAGGGAACGATTTGTATATGCCGGACAGAGGGCGCTAACGCCTTACAATGGCGGTGGCGTTGAAGCTGGGGCTCTTCGCGGCGTTGCTCATGAGAGAAACTCCGGGAGGCACAAAATACGCAGACATGGACCGGTTTTTCTTACTGGAGCATGTAAATCACTCCTCATGGGCGATGAGAGACAGATGACTGCGATAGACACTGACACCTGCATTCCGCTTTTAGTTAGCGCGCTCCCTGCAAATTTTTGTTTTTTAACAACGCACAGGAGAATTCTCCCACCTAGTATTTTAGAGGTCAAGATTCAGTGCTCATATAAACGAGAGTGGCCTGTGAACAGCTGTGCAGCACAAGTATAGTCACTTTTTTTCATGAAACTCGCTAGCAGACGCTACCTGCCTGGCTGTTGCGAGTTGACAGAGGGGTTGTCAAGAGAAGAGAAGGAGAAGAGACGCGCATGCGCAGTGGGAGTTTAAACACCACGGGGATGGATGCCTAGAGGACAGGGAGGTGGAACGAGTGTAGGCAAGCAGCCGCTGCCAGGGACGGCTTTGAGCCCTCCCATAGTAGCGTAATGAGTACTCAAATCGCTAAACTCTTCTTCTAAATAACCACTGAGCTTGTGCCTCTACGTCCGAAAGGTAATACTTCCAAGAAACGCGATTTGGTTTTACAGATTTATCTGTTACACAGAGAGTGATATTGATTGATATGTGGTGTTTAACGTCCCAAAACCACCACAGAGAAATAGACAGGTATACAAATGGGTGCACAGTTTATTGGTCAGGTTGGCACGAAAATTTTTACCCATTTCAAATAATGCATCCAATCAACTCCATGATGATGGCTCGTCAGGGAAGGTCCAGTATGGCGCAGTCTAAAGTTCACGTGACACAATGATTGAGCAGTTCACTACATGGAGTAATAAACCGCTACGGAACTGTCCTATTATGTTTAGTCTGCATTTTAGGTGTAGTTAGGTTAATGAAATTGTTTCCTCTTGCACGTGCCGTTTTGATGAAGATATCCCCTTTTCACTTTACTTTTTGGAACGGTTTTCTGATGATGCGCACGAATAAGTCCGCAATTCCAGCTATGTATATTACCCGCTATGATGGTATAGTAATTCTGGTGCTCTAATACTGACCCGAAGTGGTTGGCAAGTCCCGCTTTGGCGATCGCATTTTTTATGGAAACGAAATCCACACGTCATACACCACCAACTGACCAGCAAGAAGATATATTAAACCACACGTTGCTGTGCCTACAAATTATTTCAAAACAGCTTCAATCGCTTTGTGTACTCACTATATTCTTAAATCACCAAAGAAACAATAGGCCCTTCAATTTATTCTAAAATGTTCTCCAAAGCCCAGGATAACTAGAACCTCATTGGGTCGGCAAGTCAATTGGTTGGCTATTACACTCACAGAATTAATCACAGCCATGCTGAAAAAACACTGTATGCTACGCTAGTTATTATCCCCATCTCTTGTACTACAAGTACAACCCACACTTGGACACTGCATTAGCGATCAAAGCAACAAAGCAGGTGTTGAGAATGTTTGCGAAACTCAGTTGACGCCCAAGCCAATTGCGCAGTAGTCACAATTCGTTCAACACATGTATAGATCATGTTCTACAATTACCAACAGTTCTTTTATAGATACGAACGTAATCTTTCGAAACGAACAAAGCAATGACCACCTAACTAAAGCATGAACAATACATGTGCTGCGTATACACACAAACTGCCACAGGTCTAGCCCCGACTCATGCGTGCCATTATTTTAGAACCTCCTCAAATAGGTGAAATCCTAGACAAGCAAATGTTTGATTGCCACACTGATGACCCTCTTGAGAAGGACAACGAAAGACATCAAACGCGGTACTGGTGGCGCTTGCTGACCAATACATTTCCGAATCTGCGTAGGCTTCACGCCATGTACCCGGAGAGATATCCCAACTTATGCCCGCGGTGTGGAGATATTCCAGCAATAAAACGCATAACCTGCCAGTGTCCAGAGTGACCTGTCACAGTTGACATGTGACATATGCACCCAGTAGAAACATAATTGTTAGAGATGTGACTCCCTGAACGGACTCTAGGAAGCCAACTGGCGACCCTATAGGGTCGCCAGTTGGCTTCCTAGAGTCCGTTCAGCTTCCGCTTCAGCTTCAGCTTCAGCTAGAGTCCGTTCGGCTTGGTGGGATATATGTATATCCCACCAAGCCGATATAGCCAGTTCAACCTTCGTAACAGGGCACCACTCGCGATCAACCACTTACACAAATAAATGTTTCTCTCGTAAAAGGTCGCATCAGTTTGAATAACCGCTTTGGGCTTTTAAATCAGAAGTGCGTTTTTGTTTGGAAAAAGAATGTACTATATTAACGGTTTAGTGCCTCTTTCATGTTCTTTTTCGCACTTAGTCAACCTGCATACAATCTGTAACTGATGTTTACTAAAATTTTTCGTGAAGAACTGCTTCATCTATATTCTCTCTATCTCTTTGTGATTATGATTTCTGAGATCATTTCTAATATGGCAATGCTTAACGTGCTTACCGGCATGCTCATTTCTTTTTTTTTCTTTCAAAATGACAGAATGAACTAACGGTTGTCCTTAATTGTATTTTATGAAGTCCATTGTTACTCTCCGTGAATGCCCCGCATGCTGTTAATGCTTCTGTGACAACACTTTGCCAGAGTGACTTTCATTAGGAGCGATACATCAACTTCTGATCCCCTTTCGGCTTCGTCGTACACATGCCAACAATGGAGCACTACGTGTACTCTTTTACGGCACAGCTGTACGCAGCTGTCTTCGTAGAGCTCGTAATGACGTCATAAATTATATAACATCACGAACAAAATTACATGCATGAAGGGTAGACTGACTGCGTGAGCAAAACCACTTCGTAAGTTTCCGACGTATGGGGCAGTGTAGACTATAAGCCTGCTTATCGTAATAAAACATTTCATTACG